GCGCATGAGGTACTGCAGCCTCTTCTCAGTGTCCATTTAATGAATTCTTATGTTCAGCCAAGCATGCTGGCAGTCTAGTTTGTGTTTCTTGCCATTCGAAGGTTGCAAGTAGGAGGGGCTGACATAGAGCATGGAGGCTCAGCGAAGTTAAGTAAAATACTGAAACTCACCCAGCTGGGAGTGGGGGGATGGGGAAGAGATTTGAACCCTGACCTGTGCCACCTCAAAGCCCATGAACGTGTTCCCTGACCTCCTCCCTGGCAGTCAGGCAGTGCATCAGTTGGTGGGGCTGGGAAAGATATGGAAATAGGTGTCATAGAAATGTGAGAGAGAGGCAGCGTGAGGGGCCTGCTGGTAGTGCCATCCTACCACTTATTGGTCACAAAATGCACCCCTCTTTCATCTGTAGGAAGATAGTCTCTTGGGGATCCCAGGATTCATCTGTAGGCACAGAATTTGAGGTGCTGCAGGCAGCAGCTCTTGGTGCACTGAAATTTCAGAGTGGAAGTGGGGGGGTGCAGGTAAGAGGGATGCAGTTCAACTAATTACAGTAGCAGTAGCTGCCACGATTGAGTCTTTAAGAAGTGCCAGATAAGCACTGGGATAAGCAGTGCGTACGTGTCATCTCATTTGACCTTCCTAAAAGCTCTGGAGGTTGAGGTGATTACCCTCATTCTGTGGATGGAATAGCTGAGCCTCAGAGATGAAGTGAACTACCGGTAGGTCACTCACTAGGTGGCAGGGCAGGGAGTCAAACTCAGGGCTGCTTGCTTCTGAAGCTCCGCCTCCCAAACATGGACTATGTGCCTGGGGCAACCCTATGACCTGTCCCCCCTGAAATCCTCAATGTTTCAGCAGAGCACACTATGTGCCCCTTCACATAATAAATATTAATTGAAAATATTGGTGCGATAGCCACCAACACAAGCTGCTAAGATATCATGCTGTGTCCTGGTAATTAAACCCTGAGATGCATTGTCATATCTGCAATTTTCAGTGTCCCCAAACATCAGTCCCAACTGAGACCAGAGGTGAGAAGAATACTCAGAGTGAGGATAAGCATGAGATTCCTGTCTATGTGCTCGTTTCTAACCCTCACACGAGCAACTTTCTTCATTTTCCTGTGTAATTCTTGCTCTTCCTTTTACCAGCACTCCACTACATCTGAAAAGACTATATACTGCCTCACTCCATCACAGGCTGGCTAAGAAACAACTTGGTTGCTATTTTTGTTAGTGGAAAACTGGATGAGGAAGGGAGGTGGTTCCCAGGTGAGGTTACCCAAGGACTCACTTGATTTCTATTTTTGATATTATTTTCAATACCAGGAGAATAATCCCTCCTCATACCAAGTATGAGAATCTGAAGATTGTGTCTCCATTCCCTTTATGCAGCTGTAGAGCTCCCAAGTCCCTCTGAGGCATGACTGATGGATGGCAACTTTAGGACCTGGATAGGTAAACCAAAGAAATAGTGAGCGTGTGGGTGGGGATCTGTCATGGGGAAAATGGCCTCTTAGTTCCTGAATGTTCAGGAAGGAGCAAAGTCATTTTACAAATACCTTGTTGAGGGGTGCCTGGGTGGTTCCGTCAGTCAGGTGTCTGACTTTGGCTCAGTTCATGATCTCACGGTCATGAGTTTGAGCCCCACATTGGGCTCTGTGCTTACAGCTCAGAGCCTGGAGCCTGCTTTGGATTCTATGTCTCCCTCAGTCTCTGCCCCTCCCCCACTCACGCTCTGTCTCCATCTCTTTCTCTTTCAAAAGTAAATAAAATATTTTTTTAAAAATCTTAAAAACAAAACAAAACAAATACCTTGTTGAAACTACAGTGTGGCCAAAACCTGAAAAGTTTCTCAAAAAGGCATAGTAGATAGGAATTAATCACTCAGTATCTATTATTAAGAATTGTAACATATTATTCCTGGTCTTATTCGTTTATTTATTTTTGCATCTAGTCTTCTTAGATAATTTTAGTAAACATAGAATATATATATATATATATAACTTGTTCATAGGTTCATTTTTGACTTTGGTTTTCTCTAACCCCGGTGTCCTAATACCCATGGTACCCTTTTTCACCAACAGAAATATCACCATGATGCTTTCAGTTCTTCCATGGCAAATTCTTCTCTTTGGGACCATTTTTGCAGGAGCAATCCATGTAGCTGTCTTTACCTAATGTATGAGATTAGTAAAATTACCTCCATTCTCTGCCAGGCACATACTTTCTATATTGGGGTATGGAGTTAAATGAGATATTATCTTTGTCCTCAGGGACTTTACAAACTAGCTGGAAAATAAATAAATACCTAGGTAGGTACCAAAGTCAGTCGAGATTCTTTTGTTTTCAAGTCGTAGAAAATTCAACTCAAACTGTTTAAAGATAATAGGGATATGGGATAGACGGGCTCGTGTGATTTTGAAATACAGAAGTATTTGGCTTCAGCATGGGTAGGTCCAGATACTCATAAGATAGCACCAGGAATCAGTCTCTCTTTATCTTTTGACTCTGGAAAACTCTCTCTTCATAGTGGCAAGTTGGCTTTTGGCAGTGCTGAACAGCTTGGAAACCTAGTGGGGAGAGAGCTGTTAGAAATTTGAGTCATGTACGCATTCCTGAAACAATTCCTGTGGTCAGAGGGAGTGAAGATGCTTATAAGCCTAGCCTGGAGCTGGGAAGAGGGGCAAGCCTCACTTATGTGACATGATCTGAGAGTTGGGGGAGGGGACTTCCAAAGAAAAGTTCTTACCCAAAGAAGGGGCAACAGAAGCCAGGAAGCTAAATATTACAGGGCTCTACTACATATATAATGGATGGCTTATTCCATACAGTATCCTTAAGTTGGTTGGGCATGCTCAGGGGATGACATTAATCATTGGAATTACCTTTTCCTTGACAAGCAGCATTCCTTCAAGACTGTCTGGGTTGAATAGACCATAAACGTAACCTGCAAAAATCTGACCTAGATCTGCTCTCCATTGCAGTGACCTGGACAGAAATAATATTACCAGGATTACCAAAATGGACTTCGCTGGACTCAAGAACCTCCGGGTCTTGTAAGTAACACATGGCTCTCCAGTGCATTTCATTTTCAACTCTTAGGCCTGGTGAAAATGTTCTGCTGCCCTGACATCACACCCATATGCACTAGGTGACAGGACTTACATTCTGTAGCAGAAAGCACTTCATTAGTGTACCCAGGTTTTCACAGGTATCTCATTCTGTGTCTCCATGCTGCTGGCTGGGCTAGACCAATGGAAGAAGTCAATTCCAGTGACAGGGAAAACAGAGGGCTATTCACAAATAAATCAAAAGGCCCAGCTTCTAGGATGACAGCAATGTCAGGTTGACTGACCATGCTACTCTTCCATAGAGATTATAATTTCTTCTCCAGCCTGTGCATTAAAAGAGCAATCAGAACAAAAGTTATTTATGTTGTTGCCTAATGGAGAAGAGGAGAGGAGGGAGGGGGAGAGTCAGACAGGGTCAGAGCCCTTGTTATACACCCACAGCTGTATAGACAGGTAGCAAAATTTGGGACGGGTGTTGGTGCAAAAGGGGAGCAAGGAATATCAGGTTTCCTTGCTAAATATTGAACACTTTAACCTGTCCCTAAATCTGTCAGTGGTAAGAATGTGCCTAAAGGCTTGTCTATTGGCAAGTCTCAGACATTTAGAGGTATAGGAGAGGAGCAATTGGAGCCTCTTTCCTACTTTATTCAGAGGTTGATTTTGACCCATAAGTGTGGCTCCAGACCTGGAGCACCGTTTGGGCCATCTGGCCACTGCCTTGGTGTTTGTTGTGTTACGGAATTGTGGATGGCAAATGTCCACTAGAAGCAGCGACTAAAGTCTTGGTATCTGAAGCCACCTCCTTTTTACCAATAACCCTTTGTAATACAATGAATTTTGTGGTAGGGACAGGAAGCACCAGGTTCTGGTCCTGCATCAGAATTAACTGCCCATGGGATCTTCGGTGAATCACTGTACCTCTGTGGGCTTCAGTTTTCTTGTGTGTAAGATGAGGAATGGGTAGTATACTAGTTTCCTAAGGCCGCTGTAACAAAGTACCACACACTGGGTGGCTTAAACAACAAAACTTATCATCTCACAGTTTCTGAGGCCTGAAATCCAAAACCAAGGTGTCAGCGGGTTTGGTTTCCTTTTGAGGGCTGAGAGAGGGTGGGGATCTGATCTAGCCCCCCCTTCTAGCTTCTGGTGGCCTTGGGAACCCCTGGTTTCTAGATAATTGTCTTCTTGATGAGTCTCTCACATTTTCTTCCTTCTATGCAGGTCTCTGGTTTACATTTTCTGTTTTTATAAGGACACCAGTCAGATTAGAGCCCACTCTAATAACCACATTTCAACTGAATTACCTCAGTGAGGACCTTATCTCCAAATAAGGTCACATTATGATAGCCTGGAGGTTAGGACATCAACATATGAGTTTGGGGGGCATAAGTTCTTCTAACTCTTATAATTGTGCATTTAATGCTTTATGGTTTTAACATTTTCATGTAGTCTATTTATTCTCACTGCAACCTGTGGAATATTACTTGTGCTACGTTGTTTTCCTGATTGAGAAGTAGATAGTACTGGGGTGCCTGGGTGGCTCAGTCGGTTGAGCGTCCAGCTTCCACTCAGGTCATGATCTCACGGTCGTTGAGTTTGAGCCCCATGTTGTGCTCTGAGCTGACAGCCCAGAGCCTGGAGCCTGTTTCGGATTCTGTCTCCCTCCCTCTGTGCCCCTGCCCCCATTCATGCTCTGTCTCTCTCTCTGTCTCAAAAATAAACATTAAAACAATTTTTTTTTAATTAAAAAAAAAATTTAGAAAAGAGAAGTAGATAGTAGTAATGATGGTGATGACAACCAATGTATATATGGTACCTTTCACAGACCAAGCTCTGTGTTATGTGGTTATTAACTCCTCTCTGCCCAGGAGAAATAAGGGGCATAGTTGGTTTAGTTGTCCCAGCTTCACATGGCAGGTAACCATGTGGAAGACAAATCAGAAACCTGAACATGTTCTTGCTGACCTCTGTGCAGAGCTGCTGTCCATTTACATTATAGAAATTTTAGAAAACCAAGAAGAAACAGCCTACCCATTTTGTAAATGCAGCCCTGATGTGCGAGTAAGTTGCTTATGTGAGTTTCCCTGAACACCAGTGTGGGGGGGCACTAGGATCTGAATGTCAGGCCTCCAGATAACAGATGTTTTCCCCTTCATGTGTTCTCCAGTCTGTGACATGTTCACGCTTCTCTCACCATCCTCTGGGTGGGAGTGGTGGGGGATGGGGAGAGAAGGTGGAGGGCAGAAGGGGGAGACTCCACCCTCTGCCCAGTCTTTCTTTTGTCCTGAGGAGTCACGTGTCTGTGAAATGACCAGCAGCTCTCACAAGATGTATGTGGGTCAGAACTGAGACTGGGACAGGTTGAGGGAATTCTATGGCTCAGTTTCAGGGTAATTTTATTGAAGAAATAGAGGCAGTAAACTCCTGATTCCAGGTCATTTGACAGCTTAAAGAACAAACATGTAACTTCTCTGTTTCCATTTCCGCCCCCTGTATCTGTAAGAGATTTCCTTTTACATAAGTCAGAAATTTTGCCTAATGTTTCATTTTCTAACCAAGTTAGCAAAGAAAACCCTTTGATTTTGTTACATCAGAAGACTAATAAAAATTCCGATTTCCATATCTGCTCTCTACAAATAAGAAAGTTTAAAATAATCACAAAAGATCGTATTAATATCCTCTGGATGATCTACAGCATTTCTTTGACTCCAGTTTATCTTTTGTTTAATTGGCACATTCTTCTTATTTTGATAACCAATGCCAAAACACTGCCCCTCCCCTGCTTTATAGACACTGTTAATATACTGTGTTTCATTACCTTCCTTATCAACTCAAAGACAATTCCATTCAAGTGGCCCTTTATTACTGTGAAAGAATCTGCTAGGTGGGATAGCTGAAATGCTTTCTAACACCAGTAAAATACCCAGACATTTAAACCATATTTTCCCTCATTCTATTCTTTTCAGATGAGTAACCTAGACAACTATCTTTTTTGAAAAGCTTTCATCACACCTTAGCATATTCCCTATATCTGTTTCTTATTTACAATTTATAGTGAAGCCAGAAAGGACTCAATAGTCCTTAATAATTTGAGTTTGCCACCTATTTCCATGCAGAACTGTTAATACAGTGCAGGTGAATGGGCAAAAGCAGATAAAATGGAGATTAGGGAACTTTGGTCTCATCGAAAGGCAATTTTCCCCAAATAAAGTACATTCAAGAAGATATAAGAATTGCCCATAACAATCCTTTGTCCCACAGAGTGGGAGTGAGGAAGGATCTCTTCTGGTGGTATCAATTATATTCCCTTTCTTAGTAGTCTGTTGCAAGAACTCTGCTATGCCCACAATGTGGGAACCAGCTTTATCCCAAATGGGGTTAATAAAAGAGTTAAAATCCACCCAGCCATCATCACAAGGGGCGATTTCCGATTCTGATCCAGTGTTAAAACTAAAAAAATAACAGTGCCAAAAGAGCTGAAAATGAACACAGTCTGTGTGTCTTTAACTCAGAACAGACTCAAACCATGGACAGCCTTCTGGTCTTCCAGCCTTTCCTGGATCCCTGACCTCCTGCATCTGGTCAGTAAAATGAGAGTGATATCAGTGGCATTAGCACATTCTCCTGAACTGCATCCCAGCCTAGAATTCTGGATGGAAGGTTCACAACGTCTGCATTCACTGATTCATTGATTCATCAAATGTTGATTATTCATTGAGCCTCTAAAAGTCAGGTACTAGGCTGGACTCTGATAGATCTAGGAATTAGATCTAGAAAGGAACCCTAGCTACCTTACCAGTCGGGATGCCAGCAGGAAAAAGATGGCACTCAGAGCTAAATAAAGAATTATTTACCAAAGTGTGGGCAAAGTTAAGAGAAACCAAGGAGACATGGTGCAGTTTCCTGGGTATAGTGACAACAAAGAGCCCCAGCAGCCCTCCGGGCCTCAAGGAGCAGTGGGAGGAAGTAGTTATCTAAGCCTACAAAGGTAGGAGCTACCTGATTATTGGACCTATGGTCTTAGGTAGAGGGACACAATCAACCTGAAATGACTTGGCAGGGAAGGAGGTGGCAATAAATCCCTCAGTCTCACTTTTGTCCTGCCCTCTCATCTCTTGCTGGTGATTTCCATTGGCTAAACCCAGCTGGAAGCCAAAGTCAGAGAAGCTTCTTGAAGTGATAAAAGTTAGCTTCCCAGAGCCTGAGCAAAGTGGAGAAGGGGAAGATATCTAACAAAGATATATTTGCATTTTTTTTACCCCCCTTTCTGAAAGAAGCAGAACTAAAAGATTCATCGTAGGAAGTTGGAGTTAAACTCCTTCAGAAACCCAGTGAGAATATGACACTCAGTCCCCATCGTGTTGCTCCTTGTTATTATTGGGAAGTAATCACAACAAGCTCTGTGATGGATTGATTGATAGTAAAAACCCAGCTAAACAAACCCCCAGCCACTAATATTGAACTAGCTCCCTGGTTAGCAAGATGTGCTAGTGTGAGTCTGTTAGCATTCCAAGGCACTCCTTGCCATATGGCAAAATGGAGAGGGAGAGAAGGGAAGAAAAAGAACATTTATTAAGCCTCTAATTGTACTCCAGATCCTGGGCTAGATAATTTATACACTCGGTTCCATTTTTATTCAGACAAGGACTTATGTGATAATTTTATTTATTTATTTATTTATTTATTTATTTATTTAT